AGGCAATGAATATCTCCTGCAAGAACCATTGTCTTTATTTCTCAATGGCATTGCCATCACTGAACTCCCAACTGTGAACATCCCGAGGCTTACCGTTGATCAGAATCTGAAGTGAAACAGTTAGCAAAAAAACTGTCTACAAGAGCAGATCAGAGGCAAAAAGCTCTCAAGCAATTGACTCATCACCTGTCTCCCTTCTGCCTGTCTACCATCTACAAGGCGCACGTCACAAATGTGGTGGAATGATCTTCACTTTCTTGAATAAATGCAGCTTCAACAACACTGAAGAAGCTTGATGCCATCCAAGGCAAAGCATCCCATTTGGTTGACAGTATATCCACTGCATAGTCAACATTGACACCCTTCACCACTGATGCACAATGATAGCAGTGTTATCATCTAGGAGATATACTGCAGTAACTTGCTGAGGTTTCTCTGACATCATATTCCAAACCTGCGATCTCTACTTCTGAAGGACAAAGGCAACTGGTGCATGGCAGGACCACCACTTGCAAGTTCCTCTTCAAGTTGTGTTCAGTTCTGACTTGGAAGTATATTGCTGTTTCTTCACTGTTGTTCAGTTGAAATCCTGGATCTCCCTTCTTAACAGCAGAATGGGTGTCCTGACACACCAAGTACAGCAGCAGTTTTATAAGAGATCATCACAGCCTTCTGCTGGGCAGTTGGGGATTAGGTTGGCTGCAATGTAACTTTTGCTCTCAGGTGTGCATTTTAGCTTCTGCACAAATTTAGACTCTTGTCTCTTTATCGTCATTTGATAGCTGATCACTCCAGACCATTCAGAATTCATGAGTAGTTTTGAGGTTATGTTGTAAGGTCAGCTGTGTGAATTTTCTGTTTTGCAGCATCTGCAGTTAAAATGCTCCCTAGCTAGTTTTGAATTCCTGGGCAGCTCCTTTGTTTAACTTTAAAGGTTGTGCCATAACTTTGAAAAGCTACATCATTTAAGGGGCCAATTTTGATTTAAATTGGTACTGTCCACATTGACGTGATTGACCTGTACAGTTACGAAATTGTTTTAGATCTCAATCATTTGTGTACTAGCATTTAAAAGAATGTAAGGAATTATAATGCTAATTATAAAATAGAAACTGTGATCAATAACTGCTAATGAAATGTAGGTAACCATTGTAAAGCTGAAATATTTTTATTTAATCATTTTATCTTGTTACTTTCCCTGTTTTTCTCCTTGATTCTGTTTGTTGCTTTAATTTGTTCATTCTTTTCATGGCCCTGTGCTGTTTGTTCTTGCCCTCTTGTTTTTGCACAAGACTTACCTTCCATTAATATCCATTAATCTTCGTGCAGTGTTATCTTCTACCTGTTGAGCATATTTTGACTAAGAAACCTGCATTACAAAATAAGGAGACATCAAATTTTGAAACCACCTTCTCTACCCTTTACATGTTGGAACTTGCTGCAAGTCCAACTAGTAAATTTGGATGTCTGTGGATTGTGATAGTAAAATAACTTGTGAAACAATTCCTATTTATTCCAAGTGTATGTGACCCATCAGTCCAGGAGTGTCTATGCCCAACCATTTTCAGCCATTTCATCAATGACCTTTCTTCCTCCACAAGGTCATTCACTGATGATTGCACAATGTCCAGCACCATTTGCAGTTATTCCAATATGAAGGTAGTCTGTGGTCAAATGACGCAAGACCTGGACAACACTTGGGCTTATAAGTGGCTAGTAGCATTTGTGTTACACAAGTTGCAATCATGATCATTTCAAACAAGAGAAAATCTGATTATCTCCTTGAAATTCAATGGCATGAATACTACTGAACATCCCACTATCAGCAACCATAAGTTACTATTGAGCAGAAACGTGGAGTTGCACCAGTCACAGTAATATGATAGTTACAAGAGCAAGTTAGATGCTAGAAATTTCTGCGGTGAGCACTTGTATCTCCGATGCCTGTCCACCATCTACAAGACAAGACAGGAGTGCGATGGAATATTCTCCACTTGCCTAGATGGATGAAGTTCCAAGAATGCTTGAAGATCAAACCATTCAAGACAAAGCATTCTGTTTGATTGGTACCTCCATCCGCCACCTTCAAGATTCACTCCCTCTCCATCACCACCACATTTGTGCATCATGCAGTAGACACTATACGGCAACGTAGCAAACTTTCTTCAATAGCAGCTTCCATGTTTATGATTTTGACCACTTAGAGGGACAAAGGCAGCAGATGCATGGGAACACTAGCATTTTTAAGTTGCTGTTCAAGGTCATACCACCCTGACTTGGAACTACATCACAATGCCTTTGTTTTCACTGAGTCAGAATCTTGGACACTCTTCCTAACAGTGCGGTGAGTGCACTTATGCTCCAAAAATTTGTTCAAGAAGGCAGCTCACCACCATCTCCAGGGCAGTTAAGAATATGCAATAACGGTTGCCATAGAAGCGATGTCTGAACCCATGAACAAATGTTTTTTTAAAAAAAAAGTCACCCAGTGCCAGGACATCAGATCCAGAGCTCTTCAGGATAAAGTCCTAACCGAGTCACTTCGGTTGCTTCATCAATGATCTTCCCTGTATAATAAGATCTAAAGTGGGATATTTGCTGATGATTGAGTGATGTTCAGTCAAAAAAAAAACACCTGACTGGGACAAATAAAACAGTGGGGAAGGGTGTAAACTGGGCAAGCATGTATGATGTATGATACACCAACTAAAACTAAAGAATATTGTGGCTACAGGAAGGATCAGAGGAAGTTAACCAAACCCCGTTTCCTACCTATGCCAAAACTAATGGAACTATGAGGTATTAGTTAAAGTGGTGATGAATTGAGAATGAATAAATATCATAGGAATTACTGAAACTTGATTAAAGCAGAGATGTGTGGGGAACGACCCACTTTGCTGTGCTAAATTTCATGGTGCATTGAGAAGGTTAGAGAAGGGTAAGAACATAAGAAATAGAAGCAGGACCGAACATTCAGCCCTCGAGCCTGCCCAGGCACTCTGAGACCTTGGCTAATCTGCCCCAGGCTCACCTTTTTTTTTTTCATGACATCACCTCAGCCCTCCTTTCCATGATAACTCAAATCTACCTACCATCTCTTTAAATACTTTGTGATCTAGTATCCACAGCTGTCTGGGGTAGAGAATTCCAAACATTCATATGCTCTGAAAGAAGACATAATGTTATATCTCGGTTTTAAATAACACTTACAGAATGAAGGGACAGTGTTTTCTAGTTCAAGATCCCCACCCATGAGTTGACATATCTCAACATCTATCTTATCAAGTCCTTTCAGAACTTGTACATTTCGATTAGAGCACTTGGCGTCATTAGATTCATACAACACGGAACAGACCCTTCGGTCCAACTCGTCCTTGCCCACCAGATGTCCCAATCTGACCTAGTCCCATTTGCCAGTATTTGGCCCATATCCCTCTCAACCCTACCTATTCTCGTACCCATCCAGATGCCTTTTAATTGTTGTAATTGTACCTGCCTCTACTACTTCCTCTGGCAGTTCATTCCATACATGCACCACCCTGTGAATGAAAAAGATTACCCCTCAGATCCTTTTTAAATCTTTAACGTCTTACCTTAAACTTATGCCGTCTAATTTTGGACTCCCTACCCGAGGAAAAAGATCTTGGCTATTCAGCCTATCCATGCCCCTCATGATTTTATAAAACTCTAAGTCACCCCTCAGCTTCTGTACCAGGGGGAAAGGCCCCAACCTATTCAGCCTCTTCCTATGACAAACTGTCCAGTCCTGGCAACATCCTTAAAGCTTTTCAGCAGCCTCCAGTTTAACAACATCCTTCTTTATAGAAGGGCGACCAGAATTGTACACGGTATTCTAAAAGTGGCCTCACCAATGTCCTGTACAGCTGCAACATGATGCTCCAACTCCTATACTCAACGTTCTGACCAACGAAAGTGAGCATGCCAAACGCTGCCTTCACCACCTTGTCTACCTGCGACTCCACTCTCAAGGAATTATGCACCTGCACCCTTATGTTTTTGTCTGGCAACTCTCCCCAGGATTCCTTGATCCAAACTCTCATGAATAAAGGCTGAAGCTGTTCAGAAGCTCTGGATAACTCAAACCTTTCATTCAGGAATCGGCTTAGTAAATTCCTTTTGATCTGCCTTCAGTGCTGTTACATTCTTTCTTGAATGCGGGGACCAAAACTGCATGCATTACTCCAGGCGCAGTTCACCAAGGCTTCACTTGTTACAAGATTTCCCTATTTTTAAATTCTCACCTCATAGTAATAAAGGCCAAAATTTCACTGTTGCTGTACCTGCATGCTAATTTTGTTTCATGCATAAGGCAACACAGATCCCTCTGCTGTCTCCATTTAAATAATTGACTGCCTTTTGATTCTTGCTAGCAAAGTGCATGAGCTCATACTTTCCAACATTAAACTCCATCCGCCCAAGGTTTGTAGTACGTAATGCCAGTAAACCTGTATGCCTTTGTTAAAGATTACTTTGCTTTGCACATATCTTGAAAAAAATCTTAGCCACCTTGATAGTGAGTTTTCACAGGTTAATCAGTAACTGAATACAGTCTACTTAGTCAAAGTCATACAGCACGGAAACAGACTCTTTGGTCCAGTTCATCCATGTTGACCAGGTATCCTAAATTGAACTTGTCCCATTTGCCTGCTTTTGGCCCATAGCCCTGTAAACCCTATTTGATGTCTGAATGCAAGTACTTTCCTCCAAAGGTCTCTAGATTGTGACCAAGGGTATGAGCTAAGTGATATCCTTTATTTTTGTATTTTTCCAGTTATCTAATTTTAGTGTTGAAGGTTTCTGCTGTCATTCCACCTGAAATAATCTTTAAAACCCTGCAGATGGAAGACAAAACTTAAGATCAGACCTTAAGGTCTGTGTGATTTTTATATCATACGAGGTGGTGCTTGCTGTGGTTTGGGGTAGATAAGGGTTAAGTTTTATTTCAGGCTATTAATTATGGACTTCTGTTTACTTTCTAGCTTGATTGGTTTGATGTTGGGTACCTGTATTGCTTTTTACGTCGTTATTGCTGATTTAGGATCCAATTTCTTTGCTCAATTGCTTGGACTTCAAGTAAGTGAATTTTGCATACAGCATAAATTGAGATCAAAAAAGTTTACTTTCAAGAGTGGCACACAACTGCAATTATCTAGTTGTACTATCTCAGCCAAATAAAATATGCTACATTTTACATCATCTAGTTATACCAAACAATTAGCTAATAGGAATGCTATCCATTTATTGGAATGGGGTGGAGGGGAGCTTCCTGAAATGGCTCAATAATATATGAAGTCTGAGTTATGCAGATCATAAACTTGGGAAAACTTGATCTGTACCTCATGTTTTTGTCATTTTGATTTCAACTCTTCAGCTGCGCTATAATTAAAGGATGCTAAAATCATGCATATAAATGAACCGCAAGACCTTTGTGGCGATATTGTCATGTTGGGGTGCAAATATCCATCAAAAAATGAGTTTCATTCTGAATGCTTGTGAAGTCAGTTAAGTCCCTCAAGCGAATGACAGCTTTGTATCTCATTCCCTGATTTCTATCGTGTTCTGGTATTCCTTTGAATTTTCTGACAGTAATAATCTTTTATGATGACCTTACAATGACCTGTCTCAGACTGCTGTTATTATATTTTTGATGCTGCCTATAACTGATGTTGTTATTATTGTACTCTCTTTAGCAAATCTGAATTTTTTATAGAAAAAAGTAAACGAAGAATAATAGACTACAATTTTAATTTTGGGTTTCAGCTGACAACCATAAACCCTTCAAGATTCATGTGGTTTGGTTCTGACCTTGTTTTAACACTGATTAAATTACAATATTATTACTCCAATGATTTGTATTTTTAGGTATATTGCATTTTTAGTTCATGTAATCTGTTTACTGCAGGGCCATACCTTGTCATAAGAAATGAACTTGTGCTGTAACCTGTTGGCACAATGGGATTCTAACATTTTTGAACTTTTACTACCTTTTTTTCTTATTTAGGTAACACCAGGATTTCGAGTGTTCTTGCTATTTGCAGTCTCTGTATTTATAGTGCTGCCACTGAGTTTGCAAAGGAACATGATGGCCTCGATCCAGTCCTTCAGTGCTATGGCTCTCATATTCTACACACTCTTCATGTTTGTTGTGAGTACCCTATTTTTTTTACATTCAACTGCCAATTCTCAAGTCTTTCATTTCTCATTTCCTCTGGTTGTAGCAGGTTTTAAGCATCAATGTAACTATATTTTCTTAAAATGTGGCAGTAATTGGAACTTTGTCTTCACAAGAAATGCTGTGTACTACCAATTTCTAGAATTAAATCTATAAATATGTTCTTTAAAATAGGATAACATTGAATGTGAAATTAATAAATGTGTTTATGTATTTAAGAATAAAAAAGAACTAAATTGGTGTATATATATTAGCAAAGTACAAAGTTGTCTTATAATGATTGTTTGCAAAATGTTTGACCATCTCAAATCAAAAACAATTCTGAATGAAATTTTTAAAGTGTAAAATTAAAACTTTATGATACTTCCATATATTGTTAAATCGACATTAAATTTTTGAAGGCTGATCACAATGGAATCGATTACTTAATTATTTTTATAGGTAGCTAAGCTAATTTTTAGGAGATCACTTAATTTAGAATTCAGTGTTCCTCTAGTCATTTAATCTCATCAAAAAAAATTAGAAGAAATTAAATCAAATTGCAAATTAAATCAAAAGTGCACATAAAAACCAGGTTTATGTATTGGGTTTTATTTCAGGTTTGCAGTATCTATAGTTTTCCCTTTTTAATTTTACTTCTGTTAATGGCCATGCACAAAGCACAAATAAAACAGATTAAAATTTAGTAAATATTTAATGTTAATTTCTCCAACAAAATGCTGTAGTAACATATTCTGAGTAACCATAACATTTGTTGGATAACTTAGCTTTAAAGTAAATGTATGTCGAGATATATTGTTACAGTTGTATTGTTGTGTGAATATGTTCTGGGTTAGAGACAGTTGAGGGACATATTGCAGTGATTGGCACAGTGGAACCTTTATAATGCTGTACTGTAGACATAGTAAAATAATATGTTGTTTGTCATCTACTCATTCATGTGAGAATAATAAATGGTACTTTTTTTTTCAATGTTCATAATGTTATCTGCAGGTAATCATTTTGTATGATGTTTAGTACACAAGATCATAAGCTGCTTTAGTTGTCAATCCAGATCTGGTCATTTGCTGAAAGTTTGTACGAAGTGCAGTGATTACTGGACTTTTTTTCAGTTTTTGTAAAATGTAAGTGTTTCACTTTTAAAAGCAAAAATAAACACATAATGAGGTACATTAACTTTAACTTTAGCAATTTAAGTTCGACCTTACTTCTAATTCTGAGCAGAGAAACTAATTGCATAATGAAAATAATTTTCAATGTCATTTTGGACATGTATTGTTTCCGTCCCTCCTTGAAAGACAGTGATTGCCTCAGGAGCATGTGTTATCATTTGGGTTCAGTAGTACTAAAGAAGATACAAATGGAGATTCAGATGTTAGAACATATGACATGAGAATTAGGAAAAAGGGAAGGACATTTATCTCCTGAAACCTGCACCATTAATTTACAAGCCTAGGGCTGATCTGCCCTAGGTCTCACTCCTCTTTCATGCTAGCTCTTCATAGCTTTCAATTCCCCTATTTATTTCAAAGATCTGTCTACCGGTTTCATCCTGTCAATGATCAAGGCTCCATAACTTTCTGGGGTAGAGAATTCCAGATATTCATTTACTCTTTGAGAAAAGAAATTCCTTTGTGTCTCAATTCTGTAACTGTGACCACTAACGTGAGATGCCCCACTAATGGAAATATTTCCTAAACTGCTACCCTGTCAGGTCTCCTCAAAATCTTGTTTCAATAAGATCAGCCTCCATTCTTCTAAACTTGGATGAACAAAGGTCTGAGATAGTAGGAACTGCAGATGCTAGAGAATCTGAGATAACAAGATGTAGAGCTGGATGAACACAGCAGGCCGAGCAGGAAAGCTGACGTTTCGGGCCTCGACCCTCCTTCAGAAATGGGGGAGGGGAAGGGGGTTCTGAAATAAATAGGGAGAGATGGAGGCGGAGAGAAGATGGATAAAGGAGAAGATAGGTGAAGAGGAGACAGACGGGTCAAAGAGGCGAGGATGGAGCCAGTAAAAGTGAGTGTAGGTGGGGAGTTAGGGAGGGGATAGGTCAGTCCAGGGAGGACGGTCAGGTCAAGGGGGTGGGATTAGGCTAGTAGGTAGGAGATGGAGGTGAGGCTTGAGGTGGGAGGAGGGGATAGGTGGGAGGAAGGACAGGTTAGGGAGGTGGGGACAAGCTGGGGCTGGGTTTTCGGATGCGATAGGGGGCAGGAAGATTTTGAAATTTGTGAAGTCCACATTGATACCATTGGGCTGCAGGGTTCCCAAGCGAAATATGAGGTGCTGTTCCTGCAACCTTCGGGTGGCATCGTTGTGGCACTGCAGGAGGGGATGGACATGTTGTCTGCGGAATGGGAGGGGCAGTTGTTTAGTGCGAACTGAGCGTAGGTGTTCCGCAAAGCGGTTCCTAAGCCTCCGCTTGGTTTCCCTGATTGTAGAGGAGGCCACAACGGGAACAGCAGATACAGTATACCACATTAGCAGATGTGCAGGTAAACGTCTGCTTGATGTGGAAAGTCTTCTTGGGGCCTGGGATGGGGGTGAGGGGGGAGGTGTAGGGGTAGGGGTAGGTGTAGCACTTCCTGCAGGTGCAGGGAAAAGTGCTGGGTGTGGTGGGGCTGGAGGGGAGTGTGGAATGGACAAGGGAGTCACGGAGAGAGTGGTCCCTCTGGAAAGCAGATAAGGGTGGTGAGGGAAAAATGTCTTTGGTGTGGGGTCGGATTGCAGATGGCGGAAGTGTCGGAGGATGATGCGTTGGATCCGGAGGTTGGTGGGGTGGTACGTGAGGACGAGGGGGATTCTGTTTTGGTTGTTATTTGCGGGGAGGGGGTGTGAGGGATGAGTTGCGGGAAATGCGGAGACACCGGTCGAGGGCGATATCGACCACTGAGGGGGGTGGAAGTTGCGGTCCTTGAAAAACGAGGACATCTGAGATGTTCGGGAGTGGAATGCCTCATCCTGGGGGCAGAGGCGAAGGAATTGGAAATAGGGGATGGTTTTTTTTTTTGCAGGAAGGTGGGTGGGAGGAGGTGTATTTTAGGTAGCTGTGGGAGTCGGTGGGCTTGAAATGGATATCCGTTTCCAGGTGGTTGCCAGAGATGGAAACGGAGGTCCAGGAAGGAGAGAGAGGTATCAGAGATGGTCCAGGTGAACTTAAGGTTGGGGTGGAAGGTGTTTGTGAAGTGGATGATCCTGGGCCTCCTGCAGTGCCACAACGATGCCACCCAAAGGTTGCAGGAACAGCACCTCCTATTTCGCTTGGGAACCCTGCAGCCCAATGGTATCAATGTGGACTTCACAAGCTTCGAAATCTCCCCTCCCCCAACCGCATCCCAAAACCAGTCCAGCTTGTCCCTGCCTCCCTCACCTGTCCTTCCTCCCACTTCAAGCCCCACCCCCATCTCCTACCTACTAGCCTAATCCCGCCCCCTTGACCTGTCCGTCCTCCCTGGACTGACCTATCCCCTCCCTAACTTCCCACCTACACTCTCTCCTTTACTGGCTCCATCCCCACCTCTTTGACCTGTCTGTCTCCTCTCCACCTATCTTCTCCTTTATCCATCTTCTATCTGCCTCTCTCCCTATTTATTTCAGAACCCCCTTCCCCTCCCCTATTTCTGAAGAAGGGTCTAGGCCCGAAACGTCAGCTTTCCTGCTCCTCTGATGCTGTTTGGCCTGCTGTGTTCATCCAGCTCTACACCTTGTTATCTTGAACAAAGGTCTGGCCTGTTTAACTGTTGTTGATACATGAACCCCTTCTTCCCAGAAATCAACCACGTGAGCATCTGATGGAGCTACCTCCAAGCCAGTGTATTCTTTTTTCAATACAGGAGCCAAAACTGTACACAGTAATCCATGTTGTAGCATTTCTTTATTTTTAACTCTAAGCCCCTAGCAAGAAATGTTAGAATTCCAATTATTGTCTTAATTACAGTTGCACTTGCATGTTAACATTGTATTTTGTGCACAAAAACATCCACGTCCTTTTGTGCCGTACTTTTCTCGGAGTTTAAGATTAAATCATAACCAGCCTTTTGATTTATTCTCCCAAAGTACATGACCTCGCAATTTGCTGCCTAATTTCCTTCATGCTTAGCAAATCTACTGGAATGTTGTTTTTATTTTTTTGAAGACGTAACTAGTAAAATACATAAGGGAGAACCAGTGGATGCTGTATATTTGGATTTGCAGAAGGTTTGTGATAAGAGTACTCTGGTTAGTGGGCAAAATTACAGAATGGGGGGTAATATATTGTCATGAATCAAGAATTGGTTGACACATGAGAAATAGAATGGGAATAAATTAGTCATTTTTGCAGTAGTGGACAGTGACTAGTAGAGTGCTGCAAGGATCGGTGCTTGGGCCTCTTACTGATGATGGATATAAGTAACTTGGATGAGAAAACCAAATGCAACATTTCCAAGTTTGCTGATGACATGAAACTTGAGCGGGATTGAGAATTGGGAGGAGGATGCAACATGGTTTCAAGGTGATTTAGACAAGTTGAATGAGTGGGTAATTACATGGCAGATGCAGTACGATGTGGCTAAATGTTAAGTTATATATTTTGTATGAAAAGCAGAAAGGAAGACTATTGTGTAAGTGGTGATACATTGGGAAGTATGGATGGAAGTCCTTGTACACCAGTCAATGAAAGTAGGTAGGCAGGTGCGGCAAATGATATGCTGGCCTTCATTGCAAGAGAATTTGAATTCCGAACTAGGCATGTCTTACTGCAGTTATACAAGGCATTAGTGAGACCACACCTGGAGCATTGCGTGCAGTGTTGGTCTCCTTACCTAAGAGTTATATACTTAGCCAAAGAAAGAATATAGCTGAGGTTAACTAGAGTGCTAGCAGCACCATTGTATGAAGAGAGTGGTTTGACTGGGCTAACTTCACTAGAGTTTAGAAGGATAAAATAGAATTGATTGAAATGTATAAAATAGTAACAGGCTGGACAGACATGCAGGAAGGACGGTTGGGGAGTCTAGAGCTAGGGGACACAGTCTCAAGGTTTAGTACTGAGATGAAGAAAACTTTCTTCACTCAAAGGGTAGCGAATCTGTACCACAGAAGGCTGTGAAGGCCAAGTCATTGAATCTATTTAAGAAAGACGCGTTTAATAGATTTTAAAGGCATCTTGGACTATGGGGAGAAAGTGGGAATATGGAAATATTGAGCTGTAAGATCAACCATGATCGTTCTGAATGGTGCAACAGGCTTAAAAGGCTGAATAGCCAGCAGCAGCTCCTAGTTTCCAAGTTCGTGTTTCCAACTTTAAACATAATTTGTCAACCTCGTGCTTGCTTAACCAGTCTGGATCCCCATGCAAATTCCTTTTGCCTTCATCATAGCCTGTCTTCCCACTACTGTTTGTATTGTCAGCAAATTTAGATACATTATATTCTACCCCCTCCTCCAAGTCATTAACATAGATAGTAAATAATTGAGACAATAGGACCGATCCTTGGGGTACTTCACCAGTTACATATTTCTAACCTGAAAAAGAACTATTAATCCTGACTTTGTCTTCTGTGTATTAACCAATCCTCAGTCCATGCTAATACAATGCCTATCCTGTGCGATAACCTTAACAAATGCCTCTTGGAAATTCGCCTCCCTTAGCATCTTGCTTATCTGATATCTTTGGGACGTTTTCAGTGTCCTCCACCATTAAGACTGCAGAATATTGGTTTAAACCAATCTGCCATTTCCCTGTTGCTGTTATCAAATCCCCAGTAACGTCCACCAAGGGTCTCTCTCTCTTTACGTTTTTTAAATATACCAACAAAATTTTGATTGGATATTTCTCCTTGACTGCTTTTGTTAACCCTGGTTGGTTCGTTCTTCTTATTGAATACTACCTTTTTTTGACTGGAACAAATTTTTGTTGAGCATTACGAAAAACCTGCAGAAATGTCTGCCACTGGTCATCCACTGCCCTTCCCCTTAGTCTATTTTCCCAGCCTAGTTTAGATAATTCTTCTTTCATACCACTGTAATTGTCCTTGTGTAGATTGATGAAACTGGTTTCAGATCTGAATTGCTCTTGGTCAAGCTGAATTTGACACTGTACCATGTCGTGGTGGGTACTCCTTGAGGATCCTTAATTACAAGATCTCTGACCAATATTACCTCGCTACACATTGTTGGATGTAACACTGTACAACCTACCAGGCAACAAACCAATGTACTGCTCGAAGAAACAATCCCCTTGCTCTCTACAAATTCTTCTTTCGTGTTACTGTAGCCCACCTGATTTTGTCCAGTCTATGCAGATTAAATTACCCATGACCATGTGTAGTGGCAATCTTACATGCCTCCATTATTTACTGATTTTAAACTTTGTCCTACAATGAGGCAACCCTTGAGGGGCATATAGATGACTGCCATCCATGATTTATTCCCCCCCCCCACCCCCACAACGTCCTCTCATCCCCTTCCCGATCCCCTCCCCTCCTCCAACTCCCCCACACTACAACTACAATATTTAAACTGCCTAGCCATCTCTAATCTGCTTAATTAATTAAATTGGATGTTAAAATTTTTTAAGTAAA